GAGTGGCACTCGTTGCTGGGTCCTGATTGAAGGGTAGACCAGGGAGGGGGGCGCAAGCCAAGCCTGTCCCGGCTGGCATAACTTGACTGCCACAGTGTTGTCAATTTACATTACATTGTGGGTTTCTTGAGTTTGTTCAACCACCATGGTCTTGATCTATCTGGCTAGTTGTCGTATTGATGGCGGCAGCAGCCGCGAGCAATGGGCCCAGGCCATGGCCCGCACCCACCTTAAAGTTGCCGTCTTGGGCAAAACCTGGGTGCGCAAGGGGTACAAAGGGAAAGGTTAACAACAAGCACAAGACTAGGAAGCGATCGTCACTCAAATTGCTTAGTTGCAAATTTTTTGGATCTGCCCTGAGCTCCAAGACCCCGGCCTGCGAACCCACCCTCCGCGCTCCCCGCCGCACACGCTCACACCTGGGCCCCAGGAGTTGCGCGCTATCCAAAACTGGTTGACGTTGTCGTACCTGGTTAGGGTGTGATGTTTGAAACATTTACAGAAAAAAACCAACTCACTTCTGGATGCAGGGGTGCAGGGTGAACAGGCCATTGACAAGCTTGCACCCACGAAATGCTTTTAGCCCTGCCGCCCAGCAACTTGCTTGGCAAGGGCTGGTGCCTTGGTAATCAGGGCTGGTGCCTTGTTGACCAAGGCAGGCAGCGCACCCGACCAGCGTTATCGCGTGGCCCTCAGTTATCTTGCTGCCAGGTGATGGGCGGTAGACGGCCTCGACGTTCTTGTAGTCCGCAAAGAAGGTCTTGAAGTCGCTGTGGTGCGCCGCCCACGCGCGCGCGCAAAGGGGTGTCGTAATTGCGCAGTGGTGTTGCTTGCTCCGGCGCTATCGGAAGCACCCGCGTCTCCTAAGCACACACAACCTGGGCCTGGCCCTATCATGGAATACCATGCAGAATTCAGTAAGCTGGCTTGCGCGTCACCTGTACAAATCAAAACGCGTCACCTGGGACATCGTTGGCAGAAATGGGATGTGGGGAGGTTTTAGTTTGCGTGGATGTGGGCGTGCTGGCACGCGATTAAGTCCATCAAAGTGTGCGAATCTCTGCCAAGATATGTGCGGGCAACGTGAGGTATCACACAACTCGTGTGCGAGCGCTATGGCACAGGCAAGCTGGGTGCGTACACAACATGATGCTTGTGCAGGGAACGAATGTATAGGCACACGCTGCGCGCAAGCACGTATGGGCATTCGACCTACCATCATGTGTGGGTGAGTGTGTGTGTGCATTGCGGGCATGTGCGCGCGTGTGTGTGCGTGTGTACATGCATGGAAAAGACGAAGTTGGACTGCAGCTTCCGACAAGGCAAGAACCCACAATCACCTTGGGCAAAGATACCGGACAAGCTAAAACGAGGGAGTCACCCACCCTCGTCCCTTCACACTGGGGCGTGGCACGCCTGCTCACCACTGCCTCGTATTGTCGGATGTGCTGCTGCGCCTTCCACAGCTGCGTGATGGGGACGTAGCTGAACGACCCCTTGGACGCCAAGGGGCTGGTGTCGGCGCAGGACTTTGCGCAGAGCTGCTGCCGAGTCGCGACCCCCCTCAGGTCGGGCTGCTGGTAGGGCAGGCAGTCCTCCAGCAGCAGCTGCCGCTTCTCGAGCTGCCCCAGCGTGGCCTTCAGCCCCGCGCCGGTGTCGCAGGAGGTGCGGTCGTCGCCGCAGTAGTACAGGTCCTGCGGCGACAGCTCGCCAACCTTCGTCACATCCTGGCCCAAAACGCTGGCAGCTGCGGCCTGCGAGGCTCGGCGGCCAGGGGAGAAGAGGCATGGGAGGCTCTCTCGGCTTGTGCTTGGGAAAAGGAGTTGGGGTACAGCAGGAACATGGTAGGTAGGCTGAACATGACATACGTGCCGGGGCCATGGGCAGGGGCCATGCATGGTGGCTTGTACACCCGTGCACAATTTGTGCCTGCCTGCATCCTCCTACCTCGGCAGCCGTGACTGCGACAAAGGCGGTGCAGGTGGCGCACTTTCCCTGGTCCCTCGGAGGCGATATGATGCGGTAGGGGACGTCGTGAGGGTCCAGGGAGCTGTAGGCGGCGGGCGACGTCGCAAACATCAGCATGGCCAGCTTCTCGGCATCTGTGCGCGGGGGTTGGATGTAGTGGGCCAAGGCAGCATCTGCTGTGTGGCAAGAGCCGATGCAGCACATCCTGGGATTGGTTTGGTGTGCGCCCGCTGGGCTTCCGCAGCGCACCACACTCGGGTGGGGGACTCGTGCCACGCCAGCTGTGACCGCCCGACAAAAGCGATTCACCTTCTCCAACTTTGGAAGAGCAGAGGGAATTCATCGACGTCCCCACGCACGCCGCCTGAGGGGCCGCTCTCAGGGCCCGCTGCCAGTTGATGGCGGCGCTCCACTGCGCGGCCGCGGAGGCGTACGCAGTGGCCAGGAGGCGTGCGGGGGTGTTGCCCGCCCCCAGTGATTCATCACTCGGCAGGAGGCCCTGGCCTGGAAGTCATTGGCATGATGTGTTTGCATGGTTTGGGCAGGGTGGGGGTTTGTGGTGCCTGTCAACTCCTCAGATATGTTTGCGGCGTTCACTCATCAGCATAGGCAAGCATGCGGGACATGGACAGGATGGTGCAGGACTTGACGGATGGAACATGGATGTCTGCTTACAGTCCGAAAGTGCTCAATCCTCTATGTGCTGCTGAGTTGCTGGCCGGACGCACGTGCAACACAGCATGCAAGCGATGCAGCGTCCGTGACTCAGTACGCTGGCCAGCCGCGGCGCACCTGACGCTGTTGCAAGCAGCAACGTCACTATCAGCCCGTGGCATGCAATATATGACCGTGTGCCTCGCCGAACATTTTGAGGTGTTTGTAATGGAGCAGGGCGTCCCGGCGGTGACACCGGTCCGTCCGCGTTGGGTCCGGGTGGCTGGGAGTCTTCAACGCATGCTCTCGTCATTCTGAAGTAATGGGATACAACATTTCAAGGTAAATCTGGTGCGGCAGGCCGTTCAACCGGGTCTCAAGAATGGGTTTGGGCGATCGCTTCGATGATCCCTCAGGGTGATCACGCACCTGGCCTCAGGGTGAATTTGTTGGTGCACTCACGGTGAGAATCTAGCACAGTTGACTTTGCCTCCTCCTTCACGTGGACAGCGGTGCCACGCCTTGCACTGCTTGGCAGCTTCCTTGCGGGAACTTAGCACTGCTCAGTAGCTTCCTTGCGGGAACTCAGTGGTGCGTCGGTGCCGAGGCAGGTCAAAAGTGCAGGCCTACAATACTGGTATGAGTGCACGGCCATGTCACCATGCGGCCCAAGCAACAGTGAGACCGTCAACTGCAGTTGTGTAGTGACGATGTCCAGTGACTGGTGCAACGGGCCTTGCGCAACACGCGCCCGCTGCTGGAAACTGAGACACCCACCAGCTGACTCCGTGGGTTCTAATCCAAGCATGGATCTTTTGCACCATATGCGCGGGTCTCGCGTGTGCAGTTGACGGTTGTGGAGCATGTACGAAGGCACCTGCCGCCAGCGTCGCCTGCCTTCGGACAATCTAGCAGGTGGCGGTTGATGCAGCCGGCCGGCTAGTGTCCAGCATGGTCTTGTGGCCTATTGTCAGAAACCAGGAGTCTTCTGAAGATCAGAATACACGTGTCACGAACATCGATGCAGGGTGCTCAATTTCCAGGTTGGCCAACAGAGGTTACAAACCGCTCTTGTCGCTTGTTCACAGCCCTGGTGTATCACGGGCTTTTCAGCGGCCACATGATGTGTGGTAGCTTCCCAATCACCACAAGAATTGTCAGCTGCTGACTACCACGTGATCCTGGGTGTTACTACACGCTTGCGCCGAGCTGTGCTCATGCGCGCGCTTCACTTGCTCTGCACCGCTTCGGTTTCGCTTATCGCAACAAAACTTTTGAGCACTGTGCATCGTGACTGCGTCATTGCTCACTGCTAGCTCTGTGATGATAAAAGGTTGAATCGTTGCTGGTTCGAAGAAGCGATCTCCGCAACACCAACTGCAGCTCTGCGGCAGAACCCCGCGACAATCCCTAAAGCAGCGCTGTCCTATAATACCTGTGAAATATTCTCATTGACTTGCGCCGCCGTCAGTGCCGATCCATAAGGCCAGGCAGCACCTGCAGCGGTGCGCGTTGCCTCGATCCTGCGCAGCATCAACACTGCAGCTCACAGGCGCCCTGGACAGGCCAAGTGGCCTGCAGCCATAGCCCTGGCGCCCCACAGGCGGCAGTGATGGCAGGGAACCAGCCGATGGGGGGCGGCTTCGGCAGGGGCAGCGGCGGCGGGGCCCCGCTGTCCAACCCATTCGCCGCACCCGCAGCCGCGGCAGGTCAGGGCGGCGGTGCCAGCGGTGGCCACTTCCGGCAGAACCCCTTTGAACTCGCTCACGAGCAGGTGCGAAGGGATGCAGCAACTGTTTGTGTGAGCAATGTGGAAAGCCTGCTGCGCCTCAAGGTTCCATGCTGTTTCCCAAATCTCATGCAGCTGGTGGATTGCAACTCAACAACGCCCGTGCCGAACCCGTTGGTGTATGAATTTTTGCAGGACTTGCTGGACGTCGACCTGACGGCCATCACCGCGCCGCCGCCACAGCAGCCGCCGCAGTCGCAGTGGCTGCAGCCGCCGCGGCCGCCGTCGCCCATAACGTGGGGCCCGGAAATCGGGGACCTCCTCGAGCTCTCCGGCGGCGCCCCCGAGCCTGCACATGCGGCTTCGACGGGAGCAGGGGTGTGGTCAGCCCCTGCAACGGCAGCTGTGCCCGTGGCATCAGTGGCAGTGGAAGAGCCGTTGTCGTCACCGTTTGCAGGGCCGCAGGCGCCCCAGCCGGCGCAGGGACATGGTGTCCTTGGGACGCAGGCCGGCGGGACCGGCGGCGGCGGCGGCGACCGCGGGCCGGGGCAGTCGCTGTTGCCGCCGCAGCAGGGGCTGTCCCGGCGGCTCAGCGCGGCCGGCTCCGGGCTGGGCGGCGTCGGCCTCGGAGACCTCGACCGCAGCCATCCCTTGGACATGACACCAGGAGACCTGGCCAGCTTGGGACTCAAAGGTGGCAAGGCCGGGCGCCCTGGGCGCGCCGGGGAGGTGGGGGTGCACGGCGATGCGCCAGTGCCTGGAGATGACGAAGTCAGGGTGGTGCAGGTGCGGGCGGGCCTGAAGATCGTGGGGTGCTCTCCGCGATACATGGACGCGGGATGGACACATTGGCTGGGTCGGGGCGCAGCAATTGGTGTGGCACTGCGGAAAGTGCGCGCCCCGGATCGCAAACTGCAAGCAGCCAACAGGACGAGAGCTGCCGCCGGCGCCAGGGCGAAGTGCCGATCTTGGGCGTTTGGGAGACTTTGACTTGGCGGCTGCCTTGGGTTTGCTGGGCCGTACCCCTAGTCATCCCCCGCCCCCTGCCGCCACCTGTCGGTCTCGCTCTGCAGATCCAAACCTTTGGCGGAGAGGGCGTTCCCAGCGCATGGCGGCGGCTGATGAAGCGCCTCGGTGTCAAGCGGCGGCGGCCGCAGGTGCGGCGGTTGGTGCGCCCGGCAGCGTACCGGAACCCCAGTCGCTGGGCCTGGCCACGAGCACGCCCTTCTACTTGTCCCGTCACCGCAATACTCACCATGCTCAAGCCACTCGTGAACGTCTGCCCTGACACACGCACGCGCACACACACACACACACACACACACACAAACACAAACACAAACAGACAAACACACAAACAAAACGTGTGCGCATGTGCACACACACACACACACACACATTCACACACGCACACACAAACTCTCTCTCTCTTTCACACACACACACACACACACACACACAAGTATGCACTCGCACCCAACCATGCACACGTGTGCGCAAGCGCTGAGTCACCCAGGAACTCGCTCCTCTCGACGCCCCCGCAGGGCGCCTTCCCCTCCAACGAGCTGGTCACCGCTCGCTACAACGTGCTGAGCTTTGTGCCTGTTAACCTGTATCAGCAGTTCAAGCGGGTGGCGAACATGTACTTTCTGGCACTGATCTGCCTGCAGGTAAACACACAACGGCTGTGTGTGAGTGCGAGCGTGTGTGTGTGTGTGTGTGTGTGTGTGTGTGTGTGCGTGTGTGTGTGTGCGTGTGCGTGTGCGCACAGCGTGCGCGTGCGTGCGCCTGAGTGGGACCCAGGGAACGCTTGATTTGGGTCGCATTCATGGTTATATAAAGCATGTGCAAATGTACAAGTGCACATGTGGTTCACACACGCACATGAGTGCTTGCGTCTAGGCATGCACGCACAATATATAACCCATGCATTCATGCGTGCGTGCACGCGTGCGCTCGTGTGCGTTCGTGGGGAGCCCCGAGCGCGCGAGTGATTGAAAAAGCCTGCCTGCGCAGGAGGCAACTCCGCAGGAGGCTGCACATCGATCTGCAGTCGCTGCCCGGTCACTCTCAGGACCGGCCAGTCGCGCAAGCATTGATTGTGCTGCACCGCGCGCCGCAGGCGATCCCCGGCCTGTCGCCGGTGCCGTGGTGGGGCACCCTGTTCCCACTGGCGGTGGTACTGACGGTCAACGGCGTGAAGGAGGCGTTCGATGACTACTGGCGCCACGTCAGCGACGCGCAGGTCAACCGCCGGTGAGCGCCACTCGTTGCTGCGAGCGGAGGTGGCGAGCTGGCTGTATACCCAGCGGGCTTCGCTTCTGGAGCAAAGCCCGCTAGGTATACAGCCGCTAGGTATACAGGCGCCGCGCACTGCCGCACGCCTGGCTTGCGGTGCGCTCTGACGTTACAAAACAGTTTTCAGAATCCACACAGACAACACACACACACACACACACGCACACACATCCCTGCATATGCACGTGTACACACGCACCCACACACATGCACACGCACACACACACATGCACAATCTGTGCTGTACCCCCCCTGCCAGGTTGGCGACGCTGCTGCGGGAGGATGGTGATGTGGCCATTCACTGGAACACGGTGCAGGTGGGCTGCGCTCGTCAGTCGGATAGCATCATAATTTACACCAATCGACTTTCTTCAAGCATGCGCCGCCCGCCACCACCCCGGCGCCCCTCCAGCTCGTGCCCCCACCCACATGCCAGCCCGCCCCCCCTCGTGACCCGCCTGTGCCGCGTCGATGCATGAGTTTTTCTAGTTTGCTGACAACATTGCTCTTGTCTGCATGTGTCATCAGGTGGGGGACCTGCTTCGGCTGCACGACGGGGAGGACATCCCGGCAGACATGGTGCTGCTAGCGTCATCCGACCCCGAGGTGGGAGCGCGGGTCGCGCCGCCAGAGGCGGGCCGGTCGGCGCTGCAAGCCTGGACAGGGGACGGTCGGGGCGCTTCAAGCGCTCGGAACCCTTCACGCGCGGTTTTTGGGCCTCCGCTTGCCTTGAAGTGTCGTCTCGCCTCCCCCCAAGATCAGCCCTGCGCAGCAGCCGTCCAGCGGCCCAACCTCCTTTTCACGACACGCGCAACTTCGCAATACCTCCCAAAACCCAACACCCAATATTGCCGGCCAGGGCCTGTGCTACGTCGAGACCGCCAACCTTGATGGGGAGACCAACCTGAAGGTCAAGAACTGCCACCTGGCGACGGCCTCCTATGACTGCGCGGGTGCGACGGGGACGCCATGAGCGGGGTGCCGCAGCTTTTTCGCTCAAGATTAAGAGCCGAGGGGCGTTGATGCACGAACAAAAGGGCGAGGCGCGTCAAACACCACAGCCGACCAAACCAGCTGCGTTGGCGGTTCGTGCCGCGTCGATGCCCGCTCAAGGTCATGCTGGGAAGCGGCCCTGCGCCAGTACCGACAAGCCCCTGGCTCACGCTCCTTCAATCCGTCAACCTTGCGCCCCTTCCCCCCACATCGGCTGTGCGTCGCCAGAGGCTTTTTCCCGAGCCGGGTACTTCACGCTCGAGGCGGAGGCCCCAAACCCTCGCCTGTACTCTTTTGAGGGCGCCATCTGCTGCTGGGACATGCCCCCGACCTCCCTTGGTGCCCTCGGCCGCGGCGCCTTCGCAACACGAGGCTC